TATAAGCGACGTAATAACTTACGTATAGCATACTATTATACGAAGTTATACGTACATACTATACATACATACATATATATATATATATATATATATATATATATATGTATGTATGTGTGTTTGTAACTACTCGTGTGTGCATGTGTGCACATGTAAATGTCCTTCCATAATATACATTCAAATCTGTACTTGCGTACACCTACCCTTGTGTGTCGGCTATAAGCACCTTGATCTCGGCGGCCTTGTAATGGTTTTTATTTTGGTATTCGTACTGGCAGAACAGATCCGCCCTCGTCAGCAGAAGCTTCACCTGTTGTGCATCGGCTCTACCGATGCTGTCGATGGCTTCTTTGACGGTGGTGTAGAGGAAGTTCTATACTTGCAAACGCGCCAAGAAGTAGAATTTAGGTATTAAAATTTGGTCAGTACCTGGCACTATCGACAGTTCTTTTGACAGTGGTGCATATGATGTTATATACTCCCAGACAAATCGAACAATGTAAAGCGAAGAATTGGGATTTGGTCAGTTCAGAGAAATAGGATTGTCAGATTATTTGATGGTATCGACAGCTGCTTTGACAATTGCGCAGATGAAGTTCTGTACTCCTGCACGTTCCAAATAAAGTTGCGGATGCAAAACTTCAATGGCGTGTCAATAGGTCGGCAGTATGTTGTGTTGCGACTATGCCAAGGCAATTTTGGTTGAAGTCACTAAATACACACCCAAGACATTCTCTGAACTACCCATACCATCGTATTATATATATATATACATATATATAAACAAATCCTCACTTAGACCAACCTTTAGTATCCTGGGGTGTTTAGGGGTTAGTCGCACCAAGTGGTGATGCAACTCAGGGGTGTCCACAAACATGGTGTACAGTGTAGTGAGGAACTCTTCGTTGTCGTTCTCCAGGGCCAAGCGTAGGGGGACTGTCAACAGCTTGTGCTCGCGCCCGATGAGGTGTTGTAGGATGTGGTCGTAGCACTGCTGACGTTGTTGTGCCTCCTGTTGAGGAGAAGGGTATAGGGTCTTCTGTGTGAGTTGATACGGATACAGGCGTGGAATAGTGACAGTAAAGGCGATGTTAAGTTAGATTGTTAGAAGCGATAGTCAATCACTAAATCGTCCGTGAGGGAAGATCAATACAAGGCGGTAATATTTCATCAGAAGCGATTGTTGCTAAGAGCTGACTTGTGCATGGAGAGGTTCTTGGTTTTACATAACAAAAATCTCTCACACAGATCCAGGTACACTAAATTAGAACTAATGCTACACTCATGCATGTCAAGGTAAATTGTCTCACAGACACAGATACGAACTCGCGCACTGAAACAGTATAATTATAAGAAGCATACACAAATACGCTGTACCCTGATGTAGAGGAGGTATGACCACTGTTGAGCCTAGCATGGTGGCAAGCCTTGCACCGGTGTACCTTCACTGGTATACGCACATCAACACAAGGTGAGCATACCTACGATGATTAAAATACTCCTATACATCTATACCAGTCATAAAGGTTATACTCTGATAACAGAATCAAATAGTAATAAAATGGCACATAACTTCGATGACGATCACAAGCTCTAAGCCATACTACCACACTACACTGCAAACGGCACGCGGCCATGTGGTACGACACAATCGACTGGTGTAGCCTCACATACGCCTATTTAACACCCACGTACACGCCTATGGAAGGTTCATTAACACACAGTACACAGTCACACACGCTCATAGGTGTGCCTATACGTACACTAATAAATACAGCCGCGTGTGATAAATACAGCCATGTGTGCCTAAACGTACACTACACTAGTCGTACATACACCGACAACAAACCGACCACATACCATTGATCGCTCAATAACCGTATGTCCACTCCATCGCTCCCCCGTACTCATCGCGCCATAGCCATTCCTACCAGGCCCCGTGTATTTGAACTTTGCTGCCGCCTCTGACTGGGCCTTTAACTTATCTGATATGTGCAAGCACACGCGCACTATCTCTGCGTTGAGATCCAGCATGTGTCGGGCGGAGATTCGGTCTAAGAGAGACACCACTTCGGTTAAGACAGTCGCGTCTAACACCTACAAGCCGTGCAGAGAAAGGCGTAATGATGGGTATGTGCTGTGGTGAACACGTTTGCTTGTACTGTACATAGACACGATATGCTATGTGTGTACTATTACCTTCGCTTCCCTTATATAGCCTGTGATGGGCAAATGTATACGCGGTACAGGTATGGATTTTCGTATCGAGACATCTATACATACCACGTTTGTCCGTGACCTTTGCCGCATCGTTACTTTGCGTCGGTGTGTATTCGTACCGATGTGATAAAGTACAGACACTTCTTACTGACTATCTGTGTGCACTAGCTGGTGGGCCATACAATTTGTCTGCGTATGAGTAATCCATCCGATTCTGACGAGGGTGCAGTAAATGGCAAGTGACTTTTGGATACATACACCCCTGAACGCACACGTGTCTGTACATACAAACAGGTGCATGTATACATATCTGTATCCCCACACTCACACAAAGCGATACATGTGAACTACACAGGTGTACTATGCTAGGGTTTGTACGTATACATGCATACATACATCGTGTGTGACAAACACGTCCAGAATGGGCAGCACAACTTCCTTCACGCGCGCCGGTGTACTGATGGCGTGTGTCTGGCCCTGTGCAAGCGCTTTGAGATCCGCAACCACTGCATGCAATAGCGGCATTGTTAATATAGTCTTACAGTCGAGCGATCGGGTTAGGCAAATACATGTGATAATTTGATTGTGACCACTTGTGATCATTCTTGTGTACATGTATCTTGGGATGGTTAACAAGTATTTCAATCGGACGATGGTACTGGACAACTAGCTGCCATAACAAAATTGCGGCCATATGAAATCATCACACTTAAGCATACCTCAGGCGAAGAGATCGCAGATTGCGCTCGTGCACGCTAGAGAAACAACAGTTATGCTAAATAACGCAATCAAGAACGATAACATGTGCTCACACAAATACTCGGCTGTGCCATATATTCACATCCTAGACCAAAATTGTACTATCTACAACATGGTTTAGACATCGAATCCTTAATTTGGATCTAGTAAATTATAAAAGTGGTATCTAACCTCCGGTTAGTGTTTGTACGTCAAGTTTAAAATACCGATTTCGGATCTTCTACATAGTGGTTACTGAGCTCTGAGTACGATATACATATATATATATATACATACATACATACATACATACATACATACATACATACATACATACATACATACATACATACATACATACATACATACATACATACATACATATACACATACATATATATATATTTGTATAATAAGTTCTGAATGAGGTTCTGTGCCTCTGACGCTACGTGGAACAACATTTTAGTGCTGGTGATATCCGCAAACCGCATTGTACCATGTGAAGCTTCTCCTCGTTAACAGGCAAGTGAACGGATTTGACCTTGTTCTAAAAAGAGATAAACTACCGTATTTAACGATCTCAGATACTTCACAACAATGCATAGATTGACGACCTCATTTAGCAATGTTCACGTTCGTGATATATGAGGAAGAGCATGACAAATAAAATATATCCAGTACACTGCAACACCACCACCTCTCTCACTCTCTCTTTCTCTCGCTTGCTTTCTTTCTGTTTTTAACTGTAAATATGTCTGTCCTTGCAAAGGGGGTTGCATTACCTTGTTTGGCCACCATGTCCGATAAGCTGAAGAAACTGGGGCATTTGGCGCGCAATTCACTCATCATTAGATCAGTCAGCTGGGTAAAAAAAAATGACAAGTGCGTGTCAAGGAATAGGGCAATATGAGTCCATTTCCAGGGTTGAGGTGTAAAGGGTATGTCTTGACTAGGATTTAACATACAACAGAACGCCACAAGTAGAAAGTACCAAGTGAAAAACTGGGTTGCGATTAACGAACAAACATTCCGAAACCCATAGTATGATTGTTCACGTACACATGCACACTAGTCAGGTGAATTCACATGCGTACACCAATCAGATGAGCACAGTATCTTTTCGTGTATATGCACTTAAGATAAATTTTCACCTGCAACTACAGACACATACGAGTGATGTTTGCATGTACACAAACGTACACGCTTTGTCTGATACTGCAGAGTATCATGCGCATACTATCGTTAAACAAAAACCTATGTGAACATACACGCTAAGAGCATTTTTTACCCGTAAACAAACATCGAACACAGTATTTCCCGTTTCAAACTCCCCATTCGATACACACTTAAACAGACACATAGATGGGAACCAAAGACATTATAAGCAACTCCTCTCGCTCTCTCTCTTTCTCCTTCTTTTTCTCTAAAGCAAAGCACTAGAATAAACACTTGTACAATTCACACAACGTATTGGACATACGAATAGCGGTATAGGCCACACGAACCATTTTTTACACGTACACATCGTTTTCTACACATACACATGTCAGTATCTCAACGCACCTTTTTGTCTTGCTTCTCGGTCGAGCAATCAAAGGCTATCTGAGCAATGCACGCTTTAACAATCTTGTGATCCGCTTGGCTTTGGATTATACTCTCTATCGATAACGCCGCCAACGCTCGCAGCCTATATGATGTATTGGTTATTAGTTAGGAAAGTAGTAATAAAAGTAGACAGGCTACCGATATATGCCAAAACTATATGTTGTATTGCAGTGTGCATAGTCATAAGTAGTAAATGCAACTAGTGATTGTCTTATGCTGAATTAAAATATTGCAACCAGCTATTCTTATTTTTCAGAATCAACTACGGCATTGGCTATGTTAAAGCGAAAGCACTGACCGTCTCACAACGTGTGGTCTCAGCTTTCGGATTCCCAGGTGATCTACTACCGTGCACACAGTATTCAATTGCAGCATATGTACGATGACCATATGCGCAATTTATATCTATGTGCGATAATCATATACGCTATTTATATCTATGTACGATAACCATATACGCTATTTATAGCGTCTATCGCGCACACAAATGCTAATGACGAACACATGCGCTTCCAAAGACAGTAGGTGTCATTAACCGCCACGTCTGTCTACTCTCCAAACTTGCACTATCTCCAAATACGTATTCTACCAGAAGAAACGTTTTTTCCCAAGCTCGCGGTTTTCTCCAACCACCCACTTACGTTTTCATCAGCTGTAGCTCGGTGGATTCTGATAGGACCATCCTGGTAAGGTATCTATTCAGCACATCGGAAAGGTGAAGACACTCTATGCAGGCATCCAACACGGCCTCCAGATTGTACTGTACGGGAGGAAAGAGTAGTAAATACCACGCGTTCTCATTGGCTTAACGCTTATTATGTGCATGTGATTGGGCTGAAGAATAAGGATTGAAGACGCTCAGTGATGTCATTCTAGAACAGCATCTACGGGGAAAGAAAGTGTGCGCAAATACAACGCTTTCTGATTGGCTGCACACACACGTTGCAAACTCAATTAGATAGAGAACTTTAGGGTTAAGGCAAATATATTCTAAACCCTAAAACTCTAAAAGCACGTATGTTATACCCGTCAGGAGTCACCCAATGCAGGCATTCAACCGTCTTTAGCCTAATTTTAAGAAAGCATACGTAAGCATTGCGCTCCCGTACCTTATGGATTACTTTTTTTTCTATTGCAAACAATGTCTGGTTGAGAGGGTTGAGTCAATGACGTCCAATCGTATTAATTTAGTCCATACAGGCGGAAAGTGTACGCTCATGCATCGCATTCTAGTTGGCATAGCACTTCTGGTGCAAACCCGACTAGATAGAGGTTTTATAGTTTAGGGTTTAAGGTTTAAAATTATCAACTATATCCGAATGGTGGAGACAAACAGTACGTGCATGAGCTTCTAGCGCTCCTATCTGATAGATTAATTGGACTGACAGAAAATTTGTGCAGAAGGTATCACGTTTCAATGCATGTGCAAACTTTCAGAATGATTCAAGTTAAGTAATTTGATGATTTGGGATGGTCTATTTAAAGCAATGATCGATTGATCAAAACCGGCTAGCGCAAAATATGCACAGACAAGGACAGAAATCAAGATAGACACTACGCACTATCACATTCATTTATAGATACGTACCAAGAGAGTACTGGCCCACACATGTGTGTATTTAAATTTTTTTCACACACATCCACGAACACAAAATATCAACACACACATACTTATACACAAGAGATTCGCACGCACACACGCGTACATCAATCATGAAAAAACACACACACATACATCAATCATGAACAAACACACACACCTTCTCGGCATCGGTATCGGTGCACGACCACCGCGAGGAGCGGCAGAAGTCCCTCAGGCGAATGAGTTTGGACAGCACGAGGTTGTGTTCAGCTGGCAAGAGGGGCCGCACGAGACAGGCACTAGAGGTGGCATCTGAGGGAACCCACACGAGCGAAGTCCTCTGGAAGACAAAGAGAAGGTGTATTGATGAAATGCCTGTATACTTTCAAAAGCTCTTCATAAGCACAGATATAACCATAGGGAGAAAACGTACTGAAAACTGACATTGTAATAAAGGTGTATATTCCAGGTTTGTAGCAGATGTATTGGTATATCTGTATTTGAGTGAGGCATGATGGGCTGTGTACGCAATCTATAGAGTCCCTTAAGCGACTATATCTAACGAGATATAGTACATCCTGACAGATCGATGGAGGCCATTGCGACACAAAAGGGCATACAGGTATACGTCTCCCATTGACTTATACACGAATCATAGCCATCACAGATCCAAAATTGTCCCCAATTCTGCCAGATTATTGTGCTTACCAAAATGGGATGGATTAAACGCTTTATACAAATCGCCAGACCCTTGAGCTGCCGGAGTTGGTGAGTTCTCGACAGTTCGAAAATAGAATTTCCAGCCACCTGCGTGATATGCGATAAGAATACATAGGCTTCAGCAGAAGCTATTTCTTGAGGCCTCTAGTCAAGGAAGAACAAAAGACCATCACGTTAAAGAGGGTAGGTACACTCCTTACACAGATTGAGACAGGGAGCCGCACTCGCCCCACAACCACTGCACACGTACATACGTGAAAATGAATATATAGACGTAGAATACACGTGTATGTGTAAAACATCCCGTGGTACCATTTCGATATCAGGCACTCTTCTGTTGACTAGATTTGAAATACTCATGCACGTACATATGCGTGAAAGTTAGTTGATGTGTGTGATTAAAATAACTACATCATCGTATGTAGATTCTAATCCCAATGCTGCCTTCTGATTCCTTCGCACTTATCGGTCCCTAATGTACGTTATTTTCAGTATAGCAGACGCAAAGACAGATGAAGATTTCCGATAAACTCACAAGGCTCAAACTCTTCAATATACGTCGGTATAAATACATACACATACACATGTACATATGCATATGCATGTGTAAATGAACACAGATGTACCCGAATATTATATATATATATATATATATATATATGTATATATATGCATATACATGTACAAATGAATACCAATGTGCACGAATACATATATTTGTAACGCATTCTGCTGCCATACCTTCTTCACTTTATCGTCGAGGGCCTCCTCACATATAAGCGACAGTAGAGTGGCGGCATCGTTAGCCGAGTGGATGGGGTACAGTCCCATATGATGGCTCAAAACACTTTTCATAACATCAATGGGCCTGAAAGGAGGGTAGAAACAAAAATGGTGAGAATACGATCACTCGGGAAATGCACCCTGTGTATACGATAATGTTTTTCTTTAAGTTGAGCTATCTCATGACAAGCAGAAAATCCTAACCGCAAGGAGAAATGAAACGATAGCTTGTACAAAATATATGTACTAGCCGTGATAGGCTGTTGTGCTTCACTGAGCTGCAGAGGATAATCTAAAGAACAACCCGGCGATATTCAACCCTGACTATTTTGTATTATATACACATGTATGCTAGTATGATGTCATCAAGTCCTAAAAAATAGGCGTTACTTGGTTTTACAGGTGGAGTTATGGGACACACAGGTGACAATTGAAACTTGGCAGGAGACATTTGACATGTGACAGGCGAGACATGACAAGTGACACGTGTCAGGCGACACGACAGGGGTCAGTTGAAGTCCAAGTATTGTTTCTACATGCAATGAGAAGGTACATGCACATGCCGCCACAAAACCCCACACACACTACACAGCACGAACGTAAACACCGACAACCACACTATCGAACAAACACTAAAGGAGCTCATCGTATCCACAGCATGACACACACTCTAACCTTTGTTTTTGGATAGTGTAGACGCCCGTCAACGTCAACACGAGGAAGCGGCGTTGTGAGAGATAGTGCTGTGTGTACTGTTCCTGCGATGGCAATAGTTCTGTCAGATTGGACAGCACACGGCTCTCCATGGGCGGCAGTTCTTGAATGTCCACCACTTGCGCACTGGCGTCGATGAGGTATGTGTAGAGCTGTGTTGTGCGTACGTGCGTGAATATAGTATGCATGTGTTAGCTTATACAAATCCAGACACTGTGCATGTATATTGATGTGCATACTAGTTCATGTTCTTTTGGTATGTTACTCACGCACGTCTTGTTCCTTTTCCTTACTGTCATGTGTGATGCTGAAGCACACGGGAAACCAGAAAAATTAGTGATCTCATTGCTTTCGCATACACACAGATACACACGTAAGCACAACTATATATATATATATATATATATGTGTGTGTGTGTGTGTGTAGTATAATATAGTAAATATAATAAATATATATGTGTGTGTGTGTGTGCGCGCGCGTGTGTGTGTAATACTATATATATATATTATATATATATATATATATAGTTGTATATATATATATATATATAGATATATGGATAGATAGATATATATGTATACATATATATATATATATAAATAAATATATATATATAAATAATATATTATATATATATATATATATATATATATAAATATATTTATATATATACATAGATAAGTATATAGATATATATATATGACCTAAATAGCTACACCCATAGACACTACTCGAACCTCGACATCTTGGCCGTCTTCGTTGCCGACGGGTGCGGTGGTAAGACAAACAACAGCACCGGGAGCTGCCAGGTCGTCTGAGAACTGCGAGGGGGCTCTAATGGTACCAGTGGTGGTTGAAGAACACGTGCGTGTGTTCATGATACATGTGCCTGTGTAGGAAAGGTATACATGCACGAAATGAGAAAAATAGACAGATGTGCGATGATGTATGTATATTTATATATACGTACCAAATGCACATACGCACTCAAGGGTGATTGTACGACTTGAATGTGTCAACGTACATACATCTACATATGTAAAACAACGTATGCACATACACTCGCAAGGATGGTTATCAGAAGTAAATACTTCAACATATATATACAAACACATCCACGCCGCCACCTACCGGATGTTCACAAGGCCTGATCGTTGATGAGCATGCAATATGAACAAACTAAAAATATATTGCACATCGACATTCACGGGCAACTGAAAGTATTGTCCCCGCATATACGCGTACACCCTCAAACACAAATATCTGGCCAATACCAGGCCCCATAAATAAACATATACATTGATGTGTATAATAAAATAGACATATAAATCATCACTCATCGGATGTGTGTGCCCATTATTTGCGCTAGTTGGTAATATGACAAATATACGAATACATCTACAACATTAACCAATGGACACGCGAATTCACTCTTGTATAATATCTGAGATTTACACGCCCCCCTACATATGCGTATGCATACACACATACACCTTCACTGACCAGATTTGACCAAGGCCTGTGACACTTCTATGCGCTCGTTGGTAGGTGTGTTAGTATCGCTGTTAAGCAGCACCAGCCGCCTTTTGACCGTTGTGTCCTTTGCCGTGGTTGTGTTTAACTTCCTACGTTTAGTTCGTGGCCCGTTTTCATCTAGGTCATCTGTGTGGCGTGCATGAGCTTGTGTGAATAAGTTCAAGGAAATATAGGAATACGCTGTATATGCCTCAGCGATACACTACATGCGCAAGGGTGTTGTATATTGGTGCGCAAAAAGTTTAATTCTGATTCCGATTCCTTTTTCCATAAAGTCATCTGACTTAGATATTCCGCAGAGTATTATAGCCGAGTGCTGCACATACCTTCGTGACAGTGGGTATGCGAGTGTATATTAAGAGATGCGTGTATGGGTGCGCAATAAGCATTAATATGCCTGAGCATGGCCATCTGTGTGCACGTGGCCCGCATTGAACCGGTCAAATACGCGTGTGTGTGTGAATGTGCTGTGTGAGTGAGAGAGTGTCGCATATTAGATAGGTAGGTGGACGTCTTCGTGTGTGTGGGCGTCAACAATGGGTGCGTGCACCGAATATCAACACCCGTCCTTGTTTCGAGAGGTCCTGGTTGACACTTTGGGCCTTCAAATGTCCAGTACAATCACTTGCGCCAGTCAAGTTCGTTTTTTATGTGGGTAAACTATAGTATGTTTATCAATATGCATAGGGCAATGCGTGCTTGCATGCTTTCATACATACACATAACAACATACACCAACAACACGCAAATGTAAGCACCGAGTATAAATGCACGGCATACCTGCCCTGTCATCGGGTGTGGTGGTCATGAGAATCCTGGCTCCCTGATTGGTTACTATTAATAGATCGATACCTCCTCGTTGGTCTGACAGATCCACGGATGTGGGCAACATCGAAACGAGCGCAAATCCTAGATCCACGTTCCTCTGCAAACCAACCAAAGGAAAAGCACAAACATTTACAGCGCATTCATTGACATGTTCATTCATCAGTAGCACTCGACAGTGGCGAGCACAACCGATACCACAGACAGCTAATATCGCACTAGTTGGGGGGATGCAATCGTGTGTCTTCATACAATTCTGAGATACAAATAGATGCCAACAAGACCACCCCCCCCCCATCGCATTCTACTAGCCCTGCAGCACAGCACCACACCAATCTCTCGGACTCGCTTAACATACCGTTGCATTGGCCATTTTCATTAGTGAAGCGCCTGTGACCGTTCCAATCGACCGGATGGGTGTGTTGGCTTCGGGTCTGAACTCCCACGCCTGTCATTAGTTTGTGAAATAGTGCGAAAGACGATGAGAAATAGTGCGGCCAATAACGCAGCTAGTGGCTAGTGTGAACCAATACACCCTAAAAAGGGTTATGGGATGCCTGGATCGGGTATACGAATTCGATTTGTTCCTTAGCTGTAGAACTGAGAGTCTAGATACGGTACCAAAGCTTGATGCGCGTACTTAGGATATATATTTAAAGCCATACCTGTAGCTGGGTTACATCACGCTGAGACAAACGATACGGAACTCAAAAATAATCGATAGGCCTGTATCACAGTAAAAATATTACACTGCTAAAAACACCTAGACAGAACCGCTGCTATATTAAGACTACATACACACTCACTACTATTATATAATTGGAAAGTAAAACTGGATGATGCTATTGAATGTCAAACTACCGAAGCAATATTGGGAAAGCATACCTGGATGTCATCGTTGCTGTATCGGGCATATAACAGGCTTCGTTCAGGATCCACAACCACTTCAATGATAGCGGGCGCCACTGTGAGTGAGCAAATATAATTGACAGGAAAATAAGAGAATGTGACTATCACGCATGTGAAATGATATAAATATAGTATAAATAACCGATAATCATATATATTATATATATATATAAATATATATCTATGTACACATGAAGAAAAAAGATAAGTACCCAGACTTATAAGCATTCAAAAATTACATAGAGTTTCTGGGACGGTATATATTACCACCGCTAAATACCTCCAATACGGCAGATATACCAAGTACCACTTCATCCCCATATACTTAACAAGCTATATTCACATACATGCAGAACAAGACTGCTTATTCAGAAAGAACCACATGAAAGCATATCCGACAATAATACTCATTTGCGAGTAAAAATATTCGCCTATAATCACCTAGGTGTATAAAAAACTACCACTGGTTAATAGGTAAGTGCACTCGTAAATCTCTCCGCAAATACAAATAAAAAAACTTTCTACCCAATACCTGGAGTGAGACCCGGCATCAGCATGTTAAAGACGGATCCAATGATGTTCTTGGTGTGGTTGTGTAAGTAGCAGCTGCCTTTGCTACTAAGCCACCCTGTCGGGCGCTGTCAGAAGGGTTTAGGGTTTTGGGTTTTAGGGTGTAGCGTTTGGTTTCTGAATTTACAGACGGGATTGTAATATACCAGAAGAAAAGGAGAAAGTTTTCAGTTGTGTATAACAGCGGTACACCATATCGATATAATCCGATCAACCGAAAGTATCTGATGTGAGTACGGTGAAAGAACAGGACACCAGACACAATATGACACATCGAAATATAGATCCAAAGTGCGCAAAACTTCTACACACGCACATACATACACATTGAACACGTATACATATGTACAACACACACGCACACATACGCACAACACACACATATATCTATGCACAACATACACATGTATATATTCAAAACACACACACACACACAGATATATAAATATATATATGCACAAAACACATGCACCCGTATATGCACAACACACACACACCTATACCTGATATAAAAGCTCGTACAAGGCACCGTCTTCAGCTCCCATAAAAATACGACCGCACGGTGTGCTGGCAACCTGGAGTATTTGTGACTCCAATCCCGATTTGGCAAAGTCTGTGGCCCATAGCTACACGGATCAAATCCCGATTTGTGTAGTTGCAAGATTGTGGAATCGGGGTTGATAGTTTAATAATCGATCAGGAATCGGATTTTTTTTTTTGAGGTGAGTTGGACAGGGGAGCCCAACTTTAAGCGCACTAGCACTATCCAATTGATAGGTGGCAGTTTGCCTATTTGTTAATATATCGCCCCTTCCTCGTATAGACAAACATCGGAACAAACACAAAGCTTAAGTTGCCACCGAATCCACAGTAGTTTATATCTGTGGAGATAAGACAGGCGCCACTCACCTTCAGCGCATAGTCGCTGCCGTAGCCCACTTCTACCAGAGATACGCTGTCTTTGGTACAAACCACTAGGAGATACTTGCACCGGGCATCCATTACACCTGTGTTGTGTCAATAACAATCCATTCAGATGCATGAACTTCTACATAGATAAGATGAGCTCAGGCCTGTGTATGCACTTTTGCATCGAAACATGACCGTGCGCATCGACCTGAACATGTGTGCACGTGCTTGTACCGTGCGGTCTATGTGAATAATACAATATAACTCAATCCCTTATATGCGTAGTATAAATATGCTTGTGTGCATGTACATATATATTCACTAATACACAGACGTGCACATGTAGTGTTGGTAGGATTATGTATATGTATTTATACATCCATATTACATGAACGAGTACATGAACTTGTACATGTATACATGCCTACACCAAGCACCTATGACCCCTGTGTATGTGGATACAGAGCAAGCAAATCGTAGGAACTAGTGCATAATCTATATCTGCTTTTGAAAATCTATACGTACATCTATCGTACTTGAACGCATACTTGAGCTTGTACATATATTTTCACACGTACCTGCGCAATGTAGAAGTGTCCTCTACTAACCACAATAAAAAATTACACGTCACCACAGATAATATAAAACCGCCAACAACATATGTATCCGTCCACGCACCAACGAGTTCCGTATTCCGGTTCAGAAAAGCTTCACCAAAAATATCTCACCTGGTCTTGGCAGCACTAGAGTGGTGCTAGTAATCGGCGCTGGCGAGTCAGCGTATATCGTAAACGCCGAACTACACAGTGCGAGATTCAAATGAAGTTGGGGCTTAGATAAGTAAACAGACAAACAGAATGCAAGATTGAATCGTGCGAAAGACTATAGATCGATGGCATTGGGTGCAGAGACGATAAGACGACAGCCAGATGGCTTGGTAAGCGACACCCATGTGCCAGCACATAGGTATAGGAACACGCACGAGAATAGGCAAATCAATCGCTGCGCGCACACGCATAGAATACAAAGCAGCTCTCGACAGGCTAACGAGTACCAAGTGCACAGCCACATGTACGCGTACAAGTTTGACTCCCGAGACGTTCGCCGTGTATGCAGCCTAGCAATCGTGTGCGTATGTACAGAGTTCAGCCTCTTCAAAACAAGACTGCAGAGGGTATACGGATTGGCGGCAAGGGTGGACATGCACTCGGGAGACATATTGACATACTTGCCCAGATCCCAAAGCACCAGCTTACGACCGATGACAAAATAGGCGTGCATAATCTGCGGGAAAAGACCCATACGCCGCGTGGTGTTGACCGCCTCTGTACCAGTAAGAAATGCACGTGACGGATTAATACCATCAGATTAATCATGTGTGACGGATTAATACCATCAAATTAATAGTGTGACGGATTAATACCAAAAAATAAATAGTGTGACGGATTAATACCATCAAATTAATCATGTGACGGACAAATACCTAAAAATTAATAGTGTGACGGATTAATACCAAAAAATTAATCATGTGTGACGGATTAATACCATCAAATCAATCATGTGACAGATTAATACCATCAAATCAACCATGTGACGGATTAATACCATCAAATCAATCATGTGACAGATTAATACCATCAAATCAACCATGTGACGGATTAATACCATCAAATTAATCATGTGACGGATTAATACCATCAAATCAATCATATGACGGATCAAAATTATAAAATTTTCAAGTGACGAATTGACACAATTAAAAAAAATATGAGGCAAACTACCACTATCAAAAATATCATACGACAGATTCGTACTGTTGCGTTATCTCGGTGGCGATCTAAGTTGTCATAAAAACTCGTTTTTTAAAGGTCGTACTGTCTTATTTAAAACACTACAGCTAATCATTTCACTCTGGTGAGAGATTGAGGGCGGAGCTATCGATATTCATAACTGTAATTGTATATGTATTGATGGAATAAGCATATCAGTCCTGAACCAGTAGGGCACCAATACACCCCGAACACGCAACAGACCCACCCCCAGGGCTTTCTCATCCCTCCGGCAAATGACCGCCAACTATAGAGACATACCTGGCGCATTGTGCAGTTTGACGATCTCTTGTGGGATGGGTCGCAGAGTGCTCTTCCTGAACACACTAGACATGGGCTCCACCCGCACACGTTCACTTCGAGGCTCTGTTGGTAGCATATTTGGGTGTTGAGTATAGTAGTGTTACCAGACAAGTAGGATACTTTGAGCTAAACCTGATTTGACGCTATATTTCTGCAGCGTACACGGGTGACTGTATGCATCGTGATGAAATGATAGAAGTAGACTACTTCTTTGGCATATATGTCACGTATAATGATGACACAATACATGCAAGCATACGAGGATCAATCAAACAAATGTATGTACTAACACATATGAATGTCGCATGCAAATGTCGCATCCATGTGATTGTATAAATGAGTTTTGGTGTTCATGTACTCGCAGATGTAAGCGTGTTCATAGTTTTCGAACTAAATACATATGCAGACCTATGTCGTTACTTCAGAAAATCGATTCGAATATATAATCATAACTGTATACAATTTACAAATATCAACAACATTCCCAGACAGAAAAACACACAATATATATATATATGTGTGTGTGTGTGTGTGTGTGCGTGTGTGTGTGCGTGTGTGTGCGTGTGTGAGTGTATATGTGTATGTATAAATATATATATATATATATGTGTGCGTGTGTGTGTATGTGTGTATGTATGTGTGTGCAAATCCATATATGTATGAGTATATACTATACCATATAGTATATATATATATATATATATGTGTGTGTGTGTGTGTATGTATATACATA